ACTTGATCGAGTTAAATGCCCTATAACTTACAAAAAGAAAAAAAAATCATCCCATATAAAGAGGAAGTGTAGTATGCTCTATATAAAGAGAAATTATAGTATATATATATTTCCTTACAGGGCTAAAAGTAGCTTGTTTTTAATCACGGCTTTTGATAGTCTAGGGTTTTTATGTTGCATTAATGTAATGTATTCAGAAAAACCTATATTATAACTTGGTGAGGAAGAAGGTATTATTTTCATGTGAATATTCTTTGGGTCCAGGGAATCATTCTTGTAACTATCCCACCATTTTATTGATATCTGTCGGCATAATTTTGGGATATAATCCCATCGATCCATGTCGTCTTCAGAGAGTTGATAAGCCCATAAAATAGAGATGATAGTTTTTTTTTAGACTATTTTTATTATAATCAGAGAATTTTCTCTGTGAAATCTGTAATTTTTGAGGAAGTATCTGGCTGCATGATCCCCATAATAGGAACTAACTTTTAAACCAGTTAGGAAGCTCTATTGATTCAGTTCTTTTAAACTGTACGTGCCAGCTATGCGTGGTTTTTGTATTTTGGTAGGAAGAAAACCTCATCGCATGCCTTTATATATTCAAAATAATGGTAGGATTTATTTTTAAGTCCTTTGGTATTCAACATCTTTGGTTTTAAAGGATTTAATCCCCAGTATCTATAAGAGATGATTTTATGGATTTGAAATTTCAAGTATGCTATTTCAGAGTCATTATTTCTATAATGGTATACTATAGACACCGACCCTGTTTCCATCAGTATGGAAACAGATGATATACCAACAGAGTGGTTCCTTTTCTTCAGAAGACTCGAACAACTTAAGCAAAGTTTACACTCAGACAATAAGCAAACACTCAAAAGACTCAAAACGAAGGTGTTCTCCCCTTTGGTCTGGCCTCCTTATAAAGCGGAGGAGGGGTCGGATTCAAATGGTTTCAAATCCACACCGACAAAAAGTAAGATGTTCTGAAAAAGTAGAATGCTTTTAGAAAAGAAAAAGTAAAAGTAATATTCTTCTACAGTGACCAATTTGTCGGTGACAATAATGCTCATTTTTAGACTATTTTTATTATAATCAGAGAATTTTCTCTGTGAAATCTGTAATTTTTGAAGAAGTATCTGGCTGCATGATTCCCATAATAGGAACCAACTTTTAAACCAGTTAGGAAGCTCTATTGATTCAGTTCTTTTAAACTGTACGTGTCAGCTATGCGTGGTTTTTGTATTTTGGTAGGAAGAAAACCTCATCGCATGCCTTTATATATTCAAAATAATGGTAGGATTTATTTTGAAATCCTTTAGTATTCAACATCCTTGGTTTTAAAGGATTTAATCCGCAGTATCTATAAGAGATGATTTATGGATTTGAAATTTCAAGTATGCTATTTCAGAGTCATTATTTCTATAATGGTATACTATAGACACCGACCCTGTTTCCATCAGTATGGAAACAAATGATATACCAACAGAGTTGTTCCTCTTCTACATAAGACTCGAACAACTTAAGCAAAATTTACACTCAGACAATAAGCAAACACTCAAAAGACTCAAAATGTAGGTGTTCTCCCCTTTGGTCTGGCCTCCTTATATAGCGGAGGGGTCGGATTCAAATAGTTTCAAATCTACACCGACAAAAAGTAAGATGTTCTGAAAAAGTAGAATGCTTTTAGAAAAGAAAAAGTAAAAGTAATATTCTTCTACAGTGACCAATTTGTCGGTGACAATAATGCTCATTTTTACTATAGCAATAGTGACCAACTTGTCGGTGCTCTTTACTGTAGATTTAGGAACGCATGTTCTAAATGTATTTGGAGTCGTATAGTCTTTTGCTTTTAATTCATTGGGAAGAATGTAAAGGGGAGAATATAATCCCTGCACCGTCATCACCATTTAATGGGCTATAATCTTCTGTTTCTTTGTCTTTTGTTGGGGTAGATATTTTGTCTTCATTTTCTTCCAGGGCTAAAAGCAGTTTCTTTTTAAGCTCGGCTTTTGATAGTGTAGGGTTTTTATGTTGCATTAATGTAATGTATTCAGAAAAACCCATATTAGAACTTGGTGAGGAAGAAGGTATTATTTTCATGTGAATATTCTCCGGGTTCGGGGAATCATTCTTGTAACTATCCCACTATTTTATTGATATCTGTCGGCTTAATTCTGGGATATAGTATCATCGATCCATGTCGTCTTCAAAGAGTTGATACGCCCATTTTAAAATCCATGGGACCTGATATGAGGCCATAAAATAGAGATGATAGCCTTTTTTGAGACTATTTTTATTATAATCAGAGAATTTTCTCTGTGAAATCTGTAATTTTTGAGGAAGTATCTGGCTGCATGATCCCCATAACAAGAACCAGCTTTTAAACCAGTTAGGAAACTGTATTGATTCAGTTCTTTTAAACTGAACGTACCAGCTATGCGTCGTTTTTGTATTTTGGTAGGAAGAAACCTCATCCGATGCCTTTATATATTCAAAATAATGATAGGATTTATTTTTAAATCATTTAGTATTCAACATCTTTGGTTTTAAAGGATTTAATCCCCAGTCTCTATAAGAGATGATTTTATGGATTTGAAATTTCGAGTATGCTATTTCAAAGTCATTATTTATATAATGGTGTGCTATAGACACCGACCCTGTTTCCATCAATATGGTTTCATCCCATTCTCTGCAATTGTCTCCCATATTGGGATGAAGGTGATTGCGTAAGTATATATAGTTTCTATTTCAACATGGTCTTTTTCCCTGTGATCATTTTCAATAATTATCAGCGGGTATATATGATGTTTCAAGGAACGGGGTTCTATTTGCACTTTAATTATTTGTGCTTATAGGGGATTGGGGAGATAGATCAATCTCCTGAACTTGATTTTGTATTAAAGCTTTTGGAATAGATTGGGGAGCTGGGCTTCTTCCCGAGCTAAAATTATGTGAGGCCAGGCTTTTTCCTACAGTATTATATGGGTCGGGTTCTTTCCTTGGCTGAGGACTATATCCATTGACTGATGTTGGGTTCTCCTTCCCTCCCTGTAAAAATTCGAAAGTCAAAAAGTTAGGAAGATGGTTATATTCACCATTAATATGCTCAACATCAAAATCAAATGAAGAAAGAATACCTTGCCATTGGGCAAAAATTTGTTTTGCGTGGAGATTTTTTACGTTTTTCTCAAGAATATCTTTGGCTGATTTGCATTTAGTTAGTATGCGAAATTTTTTATTAAGTAAATCACTTTGAAACTTTGTTACACAATAAATTATGGCTAAAATTTCCTTTTAAACAGTGGAATAGTTTTGTTGAGCAGGATTCCAGGTTTTGGAAGTAAACCGTACTAACTGTTCATGCTTTTGGGATTTTTGTTTGAGTATTCCCCCTAATCTTAGTTCAGAAGCATCAGTTTCAACAATTTTAAAGGCAGTGGGATCCGATAATGCTAAGCAGGGTAATTCCTTAGCTTTTAATTTTAGTTTTTTAATAGCCATTGTATGTTCATTTGTCCAATCAGGAGGGTTCTTTTTTAACATTTGAAATAACGGTTTAGCATCTAAAGCCAAGTCTTTGTAAAAGTCCGAGATATAATTTAAACAACCAAGGAATCTTTGCAATTCAGTTTTATCTTTAATCATATCCGGGAATTTTGATGTAAATTCAATTACCCTGTTGATAGGAATAATCCTTCCTTAGTTAAATATTATGCCCAAGAAACCTTATTTTGGTTTTAAACAGGTTTATTTTTTTTGCCGAAACAATTAGTCCAGCATTGTTTATAGCCTTTAGAAATGTATTTAAATGTTTTCAGTGTTGATCAATGGTTTCTGAATAACCGAGCACGTCATCAATGTAAACAATCATGAATTTAGTATAGGGATTAAAAATGTTGTTCATGATATTTTAGAATTCAGATGGGGCATTTTTTAAACTGGAAGGCATTACATTCCATTCATAGTGCCTGAAAGGAACATTGAAAGTTGTTTTATATCTATCTTTTTCTATTATCTGAATCTGCCAATATCCTGATTTTAAATCAAATTTTGAGAAAATACATGCATTGATCAATCTATCTAAGAGATCTCTTTTATTTGGTATGGGATATCGAATCTATCTCATCGTTTTGTTTAAAAGGTTTGTAATTTATAACCAGTCGAGGAGCTCCCCTTTCAATTTCGGAAGCTTTTTCAACATAGAAAGCTACACAACTCCATGATGAGGAACTTTTTTTGATAAGTTTCTTATCAAGTAATTCTTGTATTTCAGTTTTACAAATTTCCAAGAGCCTATTATTCATTTGAATAGGTCTAGCTTTAGTAGGAATTTTTTGTTCATTGAAATCTGGTTCATAAGGAATCTCAACAATATGTTGTTTCCTACTCCAAAAAGCGTTAGGGATATCAACGCATATTTTTTTTTTCAGCATTGTTTTATAATTGCTGATTTTACTTTGCATCTGAGATGACATAAGCTTTTCATCAATGGTCTTATATTTGACTTCTTCTTTTAAATGAAAAAGGAATTTTTTCTTTGTCGATATTTTATTTTTAATATTATTAATCTCATGGACTCTGGGTTTATTGATAAAATCAAATTTTACCTCATGTCCCTCAATATCAGCCTTTATTCTAGTATTATCAATTTTTATGG